GCTAAAAGTGAATGGACCTGGAATCTTTCTCAAATGGTTAATGCACGCAGCGCGAAATGGTTAACGATGACATTTCACAAAGTGGGAAGACCATAACACCCTTGCCCCCCCCCCCAGACTCCTGTGTAAATTTAGTTATTCCCTCTGATTAACTCGATCCAGCTCCATATGCCCACCACAGCAGTGTCTCTTCTCGCTATCCATGGGGGTGTCAGCAAAGCGCGCGCTTCGGGCAAACACAACCGTCCCACTGGCAGATCTGTCTACCGACGTACGAGACGAGTGCAACGCGCGGGTGGGCACGTTCAACTCCGTGCATGCGCCCCAGTACAAGAAAGTGATCAACAAGGCTCTGAAACTGGCTCTGCAGTACATGTCGATCGTAAGTGAACCACCCCTGCAGAAGAGGTGAGGGGGCACGTGTGGCCCGTGTTTGAACATCCGAGTGTTCGAAAAATGACGCAGAGAATCGCAAAGAATAGCACGTCAGACAGCAATGCTGAGTTAGCGTCTGACCGCCTCCGGCCGGCTGCACCTGTGTGTGACGAGCGTCCGCATCACCGTTTCCAGTCCAGCCACTTCGGCCGAGACACCAACCACCGACTGGGCTTCCAAAAGCTCTTCAAGAGTGCCTCGGACGAGCGCTTCGAACAGGCCGTGTCGATGATCAAGTACGTGGTCAAGCGCGGAGGCACCATGCACCAAGCCCTCAATGTTAAGGTAAGGGTACCAATCGAGACCGGTATTACATCAGTTTTTGAACCTCGTGCTCATTTGGTGCCGGGATTGTAGCTCAGCACGCCAATCAGACAACACAGTTGCCAACGACATCGTTCTCGCTCCTGGGTGTATTCATTTCTGGAAAACACTTGAAAATCATATTTGCCCAGAACAGTAAAGCCAATCACGCATTATTTAAACGACGCGCCTTTACAAGTCCGCGTGCCGCCTGCGTGACCGTTCTGCGGCCTGCGTCGTGTGATGTTCCCGTTCATCTGTCTGGCGTGGGGCGACGAGGCGTCGGCTGCCATGTCCGCCCCGCCCCGCAGCTGCCGACGACTGGCCTGTACAACCCGCTGCCGCTGCCCTCCCTCGGCCTGGCCCTGACCGACGCCAAGGACATGTACGAGGAGCAGGCGCGCCTGCACCGCGGCGCCCTCTGCCTGACGGCCACCGCCGGCGGCATGCTGAAGCCGGCTGCGCGCTCGACGCCGATGTGAGTTCGCAGTCGGACACGGAGCACACCAGTGCGTCACGGGAACATATGTCACGGCGCTGTACGCAAACTACGGGCATATGTAAGGTGGATTTACCATGGTCAAGACGAGAGGGATACGCGCCATCACCACGTGGTATATCCGAGACCACTGTGACGCTATCTTTCAAGGCACTTGTTTTCACGGAAAGCCTCCGTCTTTCTCTTTTGATTGGCAATCTGTGGTGAGTTCGCGCAACGAATCTGTGCAGAATGACAGAACGCAATTTCGGAACTTGCTTGGAAGGACGACGTAATTTTTAAATACGTACAGGCGTAACTTTCAAGTTCAAACGTAGTTTTCAAGTTCAAACGAGGTCAATGACACATGGGGTCCTGTTCGACTTTACATTGATCCTCGATGACTGCGCTGGACCTGATTCAGAACACGACATTGCTATCATTTTACTTAAAAAACGCCATTCTAAGTAAATGCAGGTGGTCATTTCCCGCCTTTGCCTTCCCAGGCATTAGAGAAGACCTGACCTGAAGGTCACTGACTGATCTGACCTGAATGGGTCACTCACACATCACTGGATCCCGCTGTTGTTTTTGTCTTGGTTCTAGCTCTATTTGGGACCCAGCGGTGAGAGAAGGTCGATCCGACATGAGTGAAAATGGCTCCCGTCTCGCGAGGGTTAACGCAACATAGCTACTGCTGTGGTCGGGTGACTGGTCCTCCGATTTTCGCTGTCCCGAGGACGCGGTGAACGTTGCAAGCACCGTGATCGTGACCGCATCAGACTGAAGGTCATATTGAGAGCTGAACGATTGCATGATCTGACTTGACACTTGTATTAACACGCATGTGTTTGACTGCAGGACGATCAGCTCTAGCAATGCATAACGGGCTCCAATTTGCTCTAGCCGACTGCTTCGCTTTAGTCCCAGTTGCAGCTATGAGTATCTACCTTGGGCTGGTAATGACGGGGAGGTACTTAATTTCCCTACGGGTTCACTAATGCGAGGTTAGGACTTACTCAAGTTCATAACTTTGGGATGACAGGTAAGCTTTATTCGTCCCACGCCTTCATTCCTCGTACGATAAATGATGAGTTGATGGTGCCTCGTTTGAGCCGATGGATTCATCACGGCGCCGCTCTGACACCAGCCAACCATTGCAGCTGGCTCACCAGGCTCAGGACGCCCTCGAGTCCGAGGTGGAGAGGGTCAGCGGCCTGGCGAGCAAGGCCAACCTTCTGGCGTCCATGTTCACCAGCGGCGAGCACAGCCTGGCCGAGCACCTGTTCGACCAGCAACTGCTGAAATAGTGTCACAGGTGGCAGCACCGTGAGCACTACGGACACCCGGTGCCAGCGCAGTCGGTAGTAATCACGACAGAAGGTGGCGCTGTGAGACAGAAGGTGGCGCGCCGATGCCGGGCGCTTTTGTAATTGTGGCACGCACGTCTTTGCGCTATGTACAGAGTGAAGGAGAGTCAATACATCTAGTGCACTTACCGGACACGAGTCGTCGTTGATAACACTCATCAAGTTTTGGAATGGAACAGAAATATGCGTGTCACGCCATACGGGTAACCCGAGGGACCCCTCTACCAGCGTTTAACCAGTCACAGTAGCACTGCTGCGCAAGGATTCAAATTGTGCTGGGTCAGTTAGGCAACTCAGAGTCAGAGTCGACTACATTTATTTCAGACAACAGGAGCCAGATCTGGAGTCGACCCCAGCCTGTACAACTCAGAGGAAGTCGGAGCCCGAATGACCTCTGTGTGGTATCAGTCAGAGTCGGAGCCGACTTGAGTGGGGCCTAAGTCTGTGGAGGAGATAACACGCTTTTTGTGCTTCGAAAAAACCCACACAAGACGTTTGTTTTTAGGATGAGGCTGCGAGGTCGCTAACACCAATGATATGTTCGTACATGCATACCTGGTTGAGCGGACGCGCCGATGACTCACTGGACTCAGCTCCGATTCCGCGGATGTTTCACTGGACTCGAGTCAGACTCCCCCGAAGCTTCACCAGACTCCGCTCCCGACTCCGACCCGCCACAACAATTCAAAGGAATCAATTTCGATGACTCAACGGATATTTGCTTGATTTTAGAGCAGGCTCAGACTGTATCCGAAGCTACCGGCAGGCTTCGTCGGTGTGCTTTCAACATCAGTACATTGCTGTGTGCGTGTCAGCAGTTTCTGACGTATTGGATACTCACTTTGACAGTACAGCAACAGCACCGTCAAGCCAGCGTTTTTTTGCAAGGTTCTCCTTTTTCATCAAGGATCACCTGCATTTAGGACATCCCATGCGAGAAGGCACTCACCTATTGCTTTTTGCATGTGTACCTAATCTTCGGTCACGTGCAAGCGTGTGGAGATCGCCGTCACAAATAGGCCCACCGTGGCAAGCTGTAATGTACAGCTGACGTAGACAAGAAGCAGCGAGCTGGGGTCCTGGCCCTGTAGCCATGATGTTCTAAAACATTACGCCAGTGACCACGCTTGGTTCTAAAATTATCAGTGTTTCACGCGCCGCTTGCGAGCCACAAACTCATTCAGTTACATAAGTCCCACTCTCACTACATCACTTCACCATACTGTTACTCTGGCTGAAAACTTCGCATTGAATTAGGAGAAACATGTGGCGAAGATAATTATTCATCCTTCCGACAAAACTGCACTTTGATCACTTGTGAACGCACTAACAGAGCTTGGGTCGTAGCTTAATTCGAAAGCATTCGTGATCTACACGAAGTCTTTGCTGGAATCGTGTTAAAGCATGTATTCATATATACTGTGACACGCCAAAATGGCACACAGGATTCATGAGTGATCCTTCATCAGATGGTGAAATGCTATGGTTAGCTGAAATTCAGCGGCATCGTAACGCCTGGTAGGATTGCACCCCGATCCTGGCCATGGACTTGCGTATTTCCCTTCCCATCCCCAGAATCAAGTACGATGTTATATGATTACTTGGTTGATCTCCAAGGCAAATTGGAAGTTCTTCAGGGTGCTTGCTTTAAGAAGCGTCGTTTTTTTAACCGGTTCCCTTTTTGAACATGGTCGTTAATGTTCTTCAGAGACCAGATGTCATCCCATTATTCCAAGAAATAGCAACATCGGACCAGGTGCATTTTTTACGGACACTTGAAAACTATGGCAGTCGTGATTTACAAGAAACACTAAATATCATCTAATGATATGCCGACCAATACATCGATACCACACCTGTACGCACGAGGCTCAGTACCATTGACGGGCCAGCGCGTACCCTTTCGAAAAAAGGTGCGTTATTGCATTCCAGCTATCGCAATCACGGCCCGGCAACGCTTTACCCGCTACTCGGTGCAGGGCTGACCAAGCTCAGGCACTTACAACGACCACGGACAAAAGACAAAGCACATTACAAAGGTGAGGTAGGGCGAAAGTTGGGAACAAGCGGCACCATGAAAATGAAGCTCCGACGTCAGTTATGTCATTTAGCACTATCACTAGGGTCGACCGCGCGGCAAAGGCGACGCAGCGCTGCCACCACCTGACGGGCCGCAGTGACCCGCGGCACTGAAGCGGGGCGTGACGTCACCGGCAGCTGACGCGCGCCGCACGAGCTGTCCGTCTGCGGGCTAGTTGGGCACGCCGTCCTTCCGTGCAGCCTTGAGGCGTCCACGTACCAGGTGAGCTCGCGCACCAGCTTCTCGGCGTTGCGCTCAATGCGCTCATTCTGCGGCTGCCCGTCGGCCGAGAAGTTCTGCGTCACCGTCGGCACGGTGAACTGGCACGGAATGCTCACCATGCCAGCTCGCTGAAGTGGGCCCGGGCGAACGCCGCCGCCCGCATCCCGCCGAACTGGCCTACAGTGGGAGCCACAGGTCAGCACACACTGCTGGACAGGTCAGAGGTCAGGTCAGTCAGTGGCGGTCACGGTCACCAGTCAGGTGACCACACAACCACGCCGCCGAGCTAAGTTGAAGCTACTGGGCGGCGGCTTCGCGGCACGGCATCGGGCAGATTTCGGATACATCATTGAACAGGTCACCACGGGCGACGTGGAAACCTCACCCGCCATTCCGCTTCACAAACATTAGCGAAGACGCAAGCAGTATCCGTCCGCAGGCCAACAAGCCACGCTAAGCCCCTGAAAAGGGTGCAACTAAGGTCCGTGACTGCATCATAAGTCAGCTATATCTCTGTAAACGCCACTACCCGAACCCCGTAAGCTGGTCGTTATTCCGACGAAAAAGATGACCATATGTGGCACGACTCGCTCATGCTCGGGCTCATGTCCAGGCCGGTCACAGCTACACAGCAGCCAAAGCTCTCACACAAGAGACCACTGCTGGGGCTGCCAACAGACGTGGTTTTCGGCTGGGTACTCTACAACCAAACCAATCCCACATCACACAAGAGCAAGTGACACTCCCACCAGGCGAGCCAGGACGCCGCGCAAGTCGGCAGCAGACCAGCCGCCTAATACGACGCACCCAAGGAGTAGCAGGCCATGCCGACGGGCCGGTGGCGGTAGGAGGCGGGCGGGAAGTGGTCCAGCATGTTGACCAGCGCCGGCGGCAGTGCGCAGTTGTACTCGGGCGTCACCACCACGAAGCCGTCCGCCGCCTTCAGTGTCTCATTGGCATCCCGCAGCCACTCGGGAGCCGCCGAAGCATCCGGCATGAAGTGCAGCGGCTGGCGCAGCATCTCGAACGGCATCTTCAGCGGGTCTGCGGAGCGCGGGACCCGCAGGGTGAAGCCAGCTGTGGCCACGTCGCATGTGACGGATGGAGTCACGTGAGCGGCGGACAGTGCCCTTACTGGACCACAACACTCAACTCGTCAGCAGCTCAGCGACGGTAGCCACTTTCACTGTCGTTAGGTGTCTGAACAAATGCAATTGGTAACGAACGACGCAGCGGCTTTCGTTAATGATTCGGGACTGGTGCACAGTGAAAGCGACAGTTGATTCCAGATTGGCAACCGAAAACGATATATGCGCCCTCACCCAGCCTGACCAGCACTATGTGAAGCCTTGCTAAGTAACCTACCGGCCCGACTTTTACCATAGTGCAAAGCGGATTATGAATAGCAAAGCGGATTATAAATACAGATCGAAGTGCCGATATGAACACGAGCACACAGCTTTATCATGACGGTCCATGCGATTGCGGATAGTCATGTGGCACTTAAGGCTGTGCACAGGTGGTCCAAGCCCCAAGCTGGAAGGTATGCGCACAGCTCACTTGCATATCTGTCGCGCGGTGCAACAGACGCGCATTCCCCATTCACGAGACAACGTTTCCAGACATAGCCACACTATCTGACGTACACGCCCACAGAACAATCCAGCCCAATTTTTCAAAGAAGACATATTGAACAGTGCACGGAAAACATGTTCTCCGTTGTCTATAAATCAACGTCAGAGCGAAAAGCACAGCCGGCACGTTGTCGTCTGGCCGCACAGCCTCACCGAAAACGGTCACATTGTGGTTCTTCTCCTTGAGGAGCTTGATGAGATGTGTGGCAACGCGTTCACCGTTCCTGCCCTCTCGAGTCGATCCCAGAAACAGCACCAGACGTGACATGACGACCTCCTGAAACACGAGGGCAGACGTACGGCCGTAGGACCCTTTTCAGCTCACGAGCAACTGGCAGAAGTACAGCCTGGGGGTGCGTGTGACGTATGTAGCTTATGGATGACCCGCACATCCCGGAGGGAGACATACAACCCAACACGACTAGTCCGGCCCATGTCCGCGCCGGTGGACAGGGCCGGTGAACGACTTACGTGTAGCGCATCCGCAATGTGAGACCGCTGACAAGATCGTGCTACGCATTACAGACAAATTTCCAAGATGTCCGCCTGCATAACCATTATCACTGAGCTCGCTCCACATGCTCCACATGCAACAACCTATCTTAAAGGGGCAGGCCTACATTTGAAAATATTGAGGCGAGCAGCACGTAACGTGTGAAGAACTCAACCGCGGCTTTTGATACGCTTTGATGTGAAAAAGACTCCACTAAATAACAAGCTTGCAACAGCAAACATTTATGGTCCTCGCTGCGTCATCGTTTAATTACATAAAGAAGCGTTTTTATGACATCATATTCGCTGCCCGGATTGCTCGGTCATCACAATCGCTCTAGCGGACGGGATG